CCACCACCACCCCCGCCACCACCGCCGCCGCCGCCACCACCACACTCTTACTCTACTGCCCCTGCTACTGCTAGTATCAGTATTGCTAGCATTGTCAATGATCGTAGCAGCCAACAGCAGCAATGTTGGCAAGGTGAAGAAGACTGTTGACAACGCCGTTCCTGGCTATTGCTACGAGCGAAGAGTAGTGACGAAAGCGAGCAGCGACATATTATGATCTTGGATGACAAACAACCTCAGAAGAGTCATCCCAAGGGGGAAGCCCACATGAACAGCAGGAACCTTAGATGACAAGAGCAAAGGCCTTCAGCAACTTGGAGGTCGAACAATGCGATTAAAAGTGAGCAAACACGACATATCAGAGAAGGAGCAAAAACACACGGAAGCCCTAAATCCGAAGCCCCAAACGCTGAAAGCAGAAACTGCCCGAGGCCGGTGGCAACGAGGCCTTCCTCTCTTGCCTTGAGGAGTGCCCTTCTTTGCTGCAGGTCCGAGGCTTCCGAGGCTAAAGTTGGTCATCGTTTTTGGGAGGCCCTTAAGGATTTTTTGAGGTCTTTTTTTGGGCTTAAGGCCCATTGTTTTGCCTTTTTCCAGGGGCTTCGGGGTTTAGGCTTCTTTTTTGAACGCGGGCTGCAGGCTAGGTCTTTGGGTTTCTGGAGGCGGCGGGTCTGAGGGTGAAAGGGTTCTTCAAGTTCAAGGCTCAAGCGTTTCAGGCTTGCGGCTTTGTTTTTATTTGTTGTTGTTACCATTGCTACTTCTGCTCCTCTGACTGCTGCTGCTGCTGCTGCTGCTGCTGCTGCTGCTGCTGCTCTTGACAGAACCTTTCTGGCATTGCTTGGTTAACAATATTGTGTTTTCAAAGTGTTGTATTAAGGGGCCAGCCTCAAAGCCAAAACTCGTGCAATCACTGTCGTTGGGTTGTTGGCACAAGGCTTCAGCCGTAGAGCTTTGCGGTTTCGGCCTTTGAGGTTTCAGGGATGCCAGGGTCTGGGGCTTTAGGGATATGTCGTTAGGCTATGTGGTGTGGAGTTTAAAGAGGCCTTCTAAATTCTAAACCTCCAAAATGGAGATGCCAGCGAAGTCCGCACCCCAAGCCCCCAGATTTAAGAACTGCGCCCAAATCCCGAAACCCTGACTCGCAACCTGAAGCCGCAGTAGAACACCATACACTCTGATCCGGAGCGGGTGACATCGGCGAGGTACCCGGAAGTGAAAGTGCTCCCCGCAGCCACAAGGCCTAGAGGGTCTAAGGGTCGGGCGTTCGGAGGGTTTAGGCTTTAGGTTGTCGGGGTTTTTGAGCTCAGTGCTAAAAGCTTTGTTATTAGTATTTCCTTGTCAAAAAGTGTGGTGGGGTTTCATTTTGGAGCGCAGGGTTGCAGGCCTTAGACTCATGGTTTTGGGGCTAAGGCTTATCATTTGTAGGGCAGTGTTGGTGCTCGTACAAGTTGCTAGCTTTAGTTATCATGAGCCTGCTGGACAAGACACGCTAAGAGCAATGGCTGCCAGCGCCACTTGCGTGCTGGGTAGTTGTAGTACTTTCATTAGTGGCATCGTCACCATTTGCGGTTGGCGTGTAGCATTCTTGATTCCCGCAAATTCAGAGGCGCGCGTTATTCGGACTATTGCTGTCGTCATCACCTGTTGCTGCTGCTACTGCTGCTGCTGCAGGCTGGTGTTGTAGTTGTTGTTGCTGCTGGTTCTTTTAAGGTAGCGTTGGTGTTTCTGTGGCAATCGCGGCTTCCTCCGCTCCCGCTGCTAATGCGAGTAGCAACAGAGCAAACCAAATTGTCAACAATCCAGAGGTGAACTTTCTAGTAACCAATAGCACTTGCAACTACTAGAGCTTCTAGAGGCTTTGAAACAATGCTGAGTGCAGGTATAGCACTCGCTTGGCAGAGTACTACCGCCGCCATCTGGATGCTCTGTGCACAGGCACTGCGGACTTGAAACAGGGATTCGGTGGGATTAGGGCCTTGTGGAATTCTAATGTTGTTCATGATGTCAATGCGATCGACTTGGAGTCTTGTTCTGCTTGTCGTTCCCATGACTCTTACTACCGTCATAATTTGCTGGCTGCAAAAAAGCAAGAATGGCAACCATCAACGCAACTACAAAACCCGGAATTAAGGAGCCTTAAATCGACATCTCCAGCCCTCCACAATGTAAGTCCCATTCCTTCCAAAAGGGATACTTATTTCGGCTCTCCATTTGAAAAGGTTTTGGAAGCCGGAGGAAGAGCAGTTTTTGGGAGGTCTCGGTGATTCAGCCTGGGCATGGCCGCCCGTTTGTGGGTTTTTGGGTTCTGTAGGGAGGGGTTGGAGGGCCTAAGGCGCAGGGGAGGGGTTGAGGTTTCAGGGTTTAGGGTTGCATCTTGGCAGGATTTGGCTTGATAGAGAGCCATCAGATTCTTGGCAGAACGGGCCATCATGACGACGACAATGACGGCAGTGACGGCGAAGGTGATGACGCTGGTGACGATGACGAGACTGAGAGCGAGGATGATTTCATTGTTGGCAATGGTCATGAGCTTTCGAACCAGTCCTTGAGCCCTCACTGACTTCAAGCCTCGCCAGCTGCATGTTGAACGTCTCCATATACTATGCTAAACTATACTATAATATGGTATTTTATACCATAATATGGTATACTATACGACAGTATAGTATAACATAAGACGGTGCATTACAATACAACACAATATAATACAACGTACCACACTATAATGTAGTATAATATAGTCTAGTACAATATACTGTAATATGAACTTTTATCAGACCTACCGGCTTGCATCGGCTTGAGGCGCGCAGCTCCCTGGCAAACCCAGCATCGAGATCGCCCGTCAGCTAGGCACTTGGCTCTTCTGCAGCTGTGCCGCCTCAGAAGAAGCCTTTCAGAACAGCCCTGGTGCACTTGAGCCAGTACAAACGCCCCAAAGCTCCCAGAATCCAGCACAAACCCTAAAACGCTTATAGATACCAACCTGAATCCTATACCCTTAAGCCTTCTGACACCCCAGAACCCTCGTAGTACCCTGGCGCCTTGAAGCCTAAGAAGAAGACCTGAAATCCAAGGCCTCTCGCGAACGCCGACTTCCTGAGCCGCCCCGAAGCCCTGGAGGCTGTGAAGGAGGCGCGCCCGAAAGTGCAGATCAGGGTTTAAGGTTTAGGTAGGGTTTAGGGTTTAGGGTTTAGGTAGGGTTCAGGGTTGAGGGTTTGGGGTTTAGGGTTTGGGTAGGCCCGCAGGGCTACTATAGGGGCCTTTAGAAGGGTTCTGTTGAAGTTTCTTTAGAATATGTAGGAGCTTCAAAAAGCGTACGCGAGTGCTCAACGAATAAGGGCTTTATGGTGTTTTATAGGGATAGAAACATCCCTTTGAAGGGTTTCGGTATGGGTTCCTAAAACGGTTCTAGCTGTTCCTTTAAGGGTTCTATAATGGATCCTACCCGGGATATGAGAGCGGTGTAGTAAAAGGGCCTCATCGATTAGAATAGGTTCTTCGGCGTGTTCTACTGTAGCTTTAGACAAGAAGACCCAATAGCTACAACTACCACGATTTGTACGCAGACTGGTATGCAGTCAAGTCTATCTTATCTGACTCTGTGTATACACACATATTTATATATACACATTTTTTTACATATGTAATACTGTCTATCTATCTGGCTCGTTAGTCGAACTTCACAAAGTCAATCAAAGTCACCAAAGAGCGCCAGAAAATTCGAAACTCCCCAAGGTGCCATCAACATTCTAATTTAGGGTTTAGGGTTTCGGGTTTGAGATGGCTTGAGTTTGACTTGAGACCTTGTGTACTAAGCCTGAAGTCCAGCAAGCACACGCGCACTATCATCAAGGCCCGGGTGACAAAATTTAGGCCCCCGGCTCATGACCGAGGGTTCGATCCCAGCACTTTAGCGCCGGCGTTTTTGAGGCTTGGCCTCTGGAATTGACAGGCAGAACTAAGGCAGGTTTGCATGTTTTCTGGGAAGCCGGGGATTCAGCTAATGTGCCGCCACCATCAAGGGGGTCTGGACGTACTTGCATAGCAAACCTGGACCTCAACCAGTCACCCGTTCAGCCCTCAGACCTCTGTACCGTATACCACAGGCCGCGAAGCGCTTCGAGGATGCTGCCAAGGCGTCGGAACAAGGGTTTTGTAAGGTTGTTGCAGATGATTCGGATGGTTTTGCAAGAGTTTTTAAAGTTCGACGAGGATGTTGGAGGGTTAGAGTTTTCTTGCCAATTCAAGCATTAAACTGTTTAACTGCTTCAGGATGCCCCTATATGGTCGTCGTTGTTGTTGTTCTTGTCAGTGTCCTTGCTGCTACCAGGTCTGCACAGCACTCACCAGCACCACCAGCACCACCAGCACCACCAGCACCACCAGCACCACCAGCGCCAACAGCACCACCAGCACCACCAGCAGCGCCAGCAGCGCCAGCAGCGCCAGCAGCGCCAGCAGCGCCAGCAGCTCCAGCAGCATCAGTACCACCACCACCGCATCATCATCGCAACCACCGCCATCGTCGACGTCACGATGCCTTCCTCAACATCACTATCATTATCGCCATCGCTGCCAGCTGCTGGTGATCAGCATCCTTTCCATCTACGTCGTGGCAGTGCCATTGCTTACACGGTCAAAGCCAGCATGCAAGTTGCAACTCCCTGTGCGAGGTCGCGAGCTCCCAGTGCAAGCTGGCGAGGACACGGGAGCTATCAGAGGGCGGAGGGGGGCTTTGAAGAAAGATTCGGGCCGATGCGTGAGGTCACGTAAAGATATGTTGCAGGGAGAAGAACCATCTGTGGTACTTGCCATTTTTGTTGCTTCTTCGGTTCGTGGTCTTTAATTACCACGGGTTCTTGCCATCTCATGCTTCTATCATCGCGTTCGGGAACTTCTGGCTCAGTGAGTTACAAAGCCGCTCTGCAGCTGCGCTTGAAGCGGCCGCTCTTCCCAGTACAAGCATCAGCATGGCCTGAGTCGTCGTGAAGGCAGCTTGTGAAGCTTCCCTGGCATGGCATGTGCTCATTGCTGTAGGTTTCTCAGAACCATGGACCGAATTCCACTAGGTGCCGTCACGAGTGAGGAGATTTTTAGGAAGCGCCTGGGAGGCCCTCAGTGGGGGCAAAACGCCATGTCTGCTGGATCCGATCTTGGTGCCCCTGGGCATGGACAAATACTGGAGCAAGAAGGAAGGGGAGAAGGCACCTGGTCTTGCAAGCATTCCAGTACGCTGCCTGCCGGTCGCGGACGCTGAGTAGTATGCCGTAACCAGAATCCCGACGCATGTATCAAGAACTAGAGGCAGTCGGACTAAAGTCTACACCACAGGCATTCACAGGCTGAAGCCGGTCGCAAGCTAATCAGTCGCAGGGTCCACAAAACTTTGTGCGAAAGGCGACCCTCAACCCCAAATCCCCAAAACCCGAGACCCCCAAATACCGAAATCTCTTAACTCTAAACCCTAAATCCCAAATTCCCCAAACCCTCAATCCCAAAACCCCCTGAGAGGAGGAGGAGGAGGGCCAGACAGAGGAGAAGAAGGAAGCTGGCGAAGCTTCAGTTCCTGAGCAGAAGACCACAGAGCCGGTGGTGGATCTGCTTGGCGCCGAGAAGTAAGGTAGGGGCCATCAGAATTAGGCTGGGGTGATGGGAGATAGTATAGCTTATATTTGTAGATTTATAGATATGGTTTTGATTGAGGACTATTGTTGTTTGAAGGCTTGTATCGTTTTATCATTCGACCGTAACAGGTTTGTACAACGCCCCGCTTCGCTGCTACTTTTACTACAATTAGAGCTATTGTTTTTGCCATAGCCATACGACTGTCTTTTTGCAAGATGGTACTTGCATCACTATAGCTATCTTACGAGATGTGCAAGCCAATTCAGGGTGTGATGACGTCTGAAGCAAAGCCGCAGTCTTGCGCGTCGAGTGACGCCAGCAGCTGGACTCTCGATGGGATGAGTTCTCCAAGCACAGTGTCTCAGACTCACTACTTCCCAGAGACTCCAATACCCCGTAATTAAGGAATATACCTTAAATTATAGTAGGATCCCCAATACTGTATGATTTAAGGTACGGTATATTCCTCAATTAAGGGATATTGGAGTCTTTAGATGATGCTCCATGCTGGCTGAAAGGACGCGAGGACCTCGGCAAGGTTTGTCTGCCACGAACTCCCTGTACAGAGATGTGGCGCAGCCCGAGCCAACACTTGGAAGCCCTCGCTCACCAATGCCGCCTAATATAGAGGCCTGAATAATTACCTATACTATCTTGAGGGCTCCTTATTATAATTATAGTAAAAATATACTCCAAAACCATATTCTGATTATTAAGGCCCCTATATTGTTCAGATCTGCGGCTTCTTGCGGCGATGCGGGTGGTCGGGCAATTTTCGTACCGCAGAAGCGGGACAACGGCTTTTGCTGGGACAGACTCTTCTGCCCGCCCCTGGCTTTGTGCTGGAAGCTAGACATGCATTTCCCCAACTGCAAATTCCAGACTTCGGCTACAAAGGGCCCGTAGAACAAAGAATAGCTTCCATCCGAGTTTCCAGCTGCAAGCGTTCTGAGGGGCTCAGCTGGCTGGCTTGAAGCCCGGGCAACAAAAATCAGCAAGGCCTTTCGCGACGGGCTCTACAGGCATGTTCTTGTGTTACAGTACTTCACTACTTGTAGTTATCCCAAAATTTGGAAGGGTTCGTGTTCTTACTTGCGTTTCTCTTGTTCCTTAGCATCCCTTGAGGGGGCTGGAGCTTTCTGTAGAGTCGAGGGATGCTGGCCCGGGTGGCGGTCAAGTGCTGAGTCAAGCTTCTGTTCACGTGTCAAACCCCGAAACCCTAAACCCTAAACCCCCTAACAGCTACTATTTTTGCACCGAGGGCCGCCTCGTGCTGAGAATCATTGGCATGCAGCAGGCAACCTTGATTC